ATACATTTTGGGTGAGAACGGCATACACCGCAAGTGAATCTGTCAGATTCACTCGGTGAGTATGGCATATATCTGTAATACAGTGTATGATGTTTACCGCGTAATAAAGGTTATCTAGAACGACATGTTCAGTCATTCCAGATAGTAATGCCCCAATCACATTTTTTCTGTCGCCGTGTATTTTCTCTTAAATAGCCCCGTGCCTGTAGTGTTAATCATTATGGTTGTATAGGATGGTTCAGTGCCTAATATTGTCACTATAAGTTTGGCTCCATTTGTCCACATATGTGTTGTCACAATCAGTTAAAGTCAGAAATTCTTAAATTACGTTATTGTCGCCAAGAAGCATTTTTAGGTATATGGAAGAAAACAGACTAAGTTTATTTATCACAATCCGTATTATATATTTTCACGGGTAACAATGATGTGTAAGAAATATTCATGCGAAGTTTCAAATCGAAATACTAACAAGAACCTCTTCTTTTTCACGTTATAATAATGTCGCCAGATTCTTGAAAGTTACTGCCTGTTGCATGTACGAGGGTTGTCCCAGAAGTAATGCACTATATGCTCTAACTTTGTTTAATATTCTTCAATTCAGCTGAAATTTTGTATATATAACAATTGAAGTTTCATCTATTATATCCTGAAGTTTCAGCACCAAACATTAATATTAAGTCTCAATATGGTTGCTATAACAACATGGGGGTAGGGGTGGGCGGGGCAGGCACCAATTTTTCTAATTATGAAAAGATCTAAAGTGTTATTTTATTAATATTTCGTTGCTTTAAATGGTCAAAATGTTTGGGAAATTGTTAAATTTATTCAACATGATGTTAACCAAGTACAAATAATGACATTTAGCACTGTGATATCATAATACCACATTTCAATAGTCACAAATTCAAATACAGTTACAGTCAAGAAATTGCAAAAATGGCTGCAATTCTTACCTGATAACAGAAGGCCTTGCGTTTAGTGGCCTAATTTCATACTTCACTTGGACTCAAAGCCACGCAAAACAATGCTACCATGAAGAAAGTATATAGGGAGTATATACCAGATAGAACTACAATTATGGGGTGGCAGAAAAGATTTAAAAGAGACTATTTGACCCTGGATGACGACCCCAAACATGGGAGGCAAAAACTCCACAAGTCACAGTGGAAGAAATTGCCAAGAGTGTTTGACCTGACAGGCATCAAAAGTACATACCATGCAAAGGCCATTATTTTGAGAAAATGTGAAATGGGACACTGTGCAATATACATCCATTAAATCTAGGATGTGCTCATAGTAATTTAGTATCTCAAAAATGTATTTTTGAGCATACTTCTTATAGCTACACAAAATGGTATTTGTTGATTAATTATTTCATATTTTCAATTTTTTATTCCTTTTGACGTGAACGTATAACCTGCCCCGCCCTACCCAAACTCACCAACTTGATTTTATTATAACATCAATATAGTTTTATCAGTCAACATGAAATTTTTCAAAATAATCAAAATGTCTCTAAGGAACATTTTCTGAAAATTTCATGGAAACATATCAATTATTGATAAAGTTAGAGCATATAGTGCATTACTTCTGGGACAACCCTCGTATACCTGATAAGGAGCTTATACTAATGTGACTTTTACCTTAAAACCAACATCAAACACTAGCATACATATAAAATATTCATAAAATATACAGAATGTCAATGTATTTACCAAGATATATCATTTGTGACTTGACAAAAAATATTTTTTGAAACGTATGGATAAGGACTTTAAACTACGTTACCAAATATCCAGCATAATCAAAGAACGAAGGCACTGTTTTCCATATATATTGTACCACAGCCTTGGATGACTTGATATGAGACCCTACTCTGTCGGTTAGTACTGAATAAATAATTGATTCGCATTAAAATGTCAGAAATATTAAATAACGTTACCTTAAACTACGTGAGCCTTTTTTACGAAACAATCCTATTTTGACTTGTTATTTAACTACAAGCTCAATGACAATGGGTCACATGGTTAGTTTTGGTGCGCCATGGCGCCATGTTGACTCAAAGCTCTGTATTATCTCTGACAATCGACTACAATTCATCAAAATAATTGAAATATGTAAATAAATACCTAACTTCATTCACAATCTCAGTAAAGAACATTTAAGGATTTTTTGGATTATGATTTTGAAGCACATCATTCATTAGAAACATATTATTTGTGGTGCAAGAACAAAATTTTCAATTTGAAATATATTTGGTGAAATTCGATATTGAATGTTGGGTAAATTACGTTATGTTCGGTAACGTGATTTAAAACGATTGTTAATCCTTTTCTGACTTGATTTAGAGTTTCAAATAGGGGAACATTCTTTCAGAAAATGGGTAAATCCATAGCAGTGATTCAAAAAGCCCATATTGAATAGAAAAGAGAAAAGATGGGGACAAGTACAGAGAGAAAGGGCACGTGTTAAGGAAATGGTGAAACAGAAACCTTTTTGAATTTTGAATTCCTGTTAATTTTATTTTCTTGTACAAAATAAAGTATGAAGACATATAAAAGTTTTAGGAAAGTATCGTCACAATGTTTTCCTTTATTGAGTCTGGTAAGAGGTCAATTTTAACTCCAGGAAATGCTGAAATTTCATGAAAACATTCAAATGGACGTCTTTTCAATTTTTCAATGTTTTCTCAAAGTTTCTGTACAACACTTAAATAACCATGGTCCTTTTACCAAGTTTATTAAAAGAAGATAATGTGATAATGTTTTCCTGAAAAACAAGGAAATGCACACATGCCATCATACTTTATTTTCAACAGAAAATAACATGTGCAGGTCTATCAATTTTTCAAAAATGTTTTCGTTACACCATTAGCTTAAGCGGTACCACACACCCAGAGTAGAGCTCCCCCTTGAAAAGGTTTGTTTCTTGCTTTGCCTTGTGAAGTGCAGAAATGAACCCCAGAGTAAGAGAACTGACGCAGACGAACCCTTTGATAATGAACCAGCTGTTATGTACATGATTGACAATTATACTGCTGTCCATGATGGTGCTTGGTACATTGGAAAAGTAGTTAATGTGGATGGCGTGCTATGAAACATCATTTATGATTAACAGACAGACAGACGGCGTATTTTCAGTGGCCTTCACTAGAACATGTACTCTGGGAAGCCAGAACGTGTACTCTGGGTAAAACATGCAAACGTTCTTTCCCAATAGTGGATTTGATTCCCAAGTAAGTGATTGCAAAAATGTTCAAGATTACCTGAACTGATGATGAACTATTTGCCTCCAAAAATTGAATCAAGAGACAATGACATCTGATATGTGGTTTTGGACAGATATGATTTGAAAATACGTTTTTTTGTAAACATTTACTAGTTCACGTTGACAATACTGTTTTAGCGACGTCTCTAGAGATGTCGAATTAAGTGATAAAGTTGTTATAAGAAGTTTAAGTTTTACATAAACTTTGAACAATATTTGCTCTCGTTATCTAATGACGACTATACAGTTTTTTAACAATTAGTGTTACCAAAATTTGGTGATTCAGTGCTAGGATAAGGGGTCTATACCAAGTACATTTAGCACCATTATTATTCACAATATGTAATGATTGGTCTGGTTTTTTCATTGTAATGTCTTCTTGATCATATTTAATGACACATGAATCTGATGTTCCAAGATTTTAATCTACGTTACCATTCGTTTAAATATAGTACGCAAATGCTATATTTTACATGAACATAGTGTGTTTTCATAAAAATGAGTTTCTCTTATATATAAAACGGACCAAATTAATTCTTTGGAAACCACTATATTGTGCGACTGTTGAATTGAAAATGTCAGCTCCCAGCAATTAATCTACGTTACAATATAGGTATGTTCAATGCTTGAGTTTTTTTACAAATAGATAACCATGGCAGTATCCAATACAATATTAGTGTTTAACAATGCAGAGATATACTCCTTTGCTCTGCTAAAACGTTTTAAACTGAGGGAATGGTCACAAAAGATCCACACTTAATGATTGAGTGACTGACAAACATTATGGAAATTACAATTTTAAGGACAAAAATAAAAAATATTCGTAATTTAGCAAAAAAAAGTTCAAAAGCCAACTATCATTAATCCTCCTGATAAGTATCGGTACCCTAATGTCTGTACTTTAAGGTAGAAAAACATTTTATTTGGTAGCACTATCATAAATTAAGAAGTATTCAAATCAATTAAGATGGTGCCTATAACGTAATTTAAAGTGGCACAAAAACTTAAGATGTGTACCACATATTTCAAATCAAAATTACTACGAAACCAAGAGAGTCTTAAAGCCATTTTTTGGTATTATGCTGTAGACATATAACCCCATAAAATAACAAGGTATGACGTGAAACGGAGAAACTTTATTTTTATCATTTTCCGAAAACTGATTGGGGCATTACTATCTGGAATGACTGGTTGTTTATTTTGCTGTTTATATATCACGGTGTTCTTTAACTGTTGGTAGTATCGTTGTAATATACAGTAAAGATTCAAAGGTCTCTTGAACAGCAATGAAACTTCTACTTGCTGATATGCAGCTTTTGAAGTCAACTTTATCCCCATAAAATGTTTAAATTTGCTTCAAATTGACCAAAGTTTTTTTTAAAAATCATCTACAAGATGCCTGGAGTTCATATATGACATTGTATTTAAGATTTGTCCTTTGGCTGACCTTTAAATGTTCAAAAAAGCCTACGGGGCCTCTGTAAGATTGCTTGCAATCTTAAACCTCTAGTTTTTTTATACGGAGGTCGTGGCAATCCGTGGAAAGACGCATCATTGTTTTACATATTTTAAGGCATTCTGGTTTTATTTTACAGAGAATCCACCACACACTAAGCTTAAAAGGTCCCAGAGATGCATTATCAATGTCACATATATTTACATGTACACATAAGCAGGTCCGTAGCCAGGATTTGCAAAGGGGGGGGGGGGGGTGGGGGGCAATTTTTGAATAATTCCAGGAGGGGTTCACTTGTGACAATTTTGGTACAAAAATGGCCAAAATCAAAAAGGGCTCAGAATGGTGAAAACTGCAATCGAACCAATCGAACCCCCCCCCCCTGGCTACGGGCCTGATAAGTCATGCCGTTTTAACATGTTGCAAAAGATTGAACAAAGGACACACTATTTCAATAATAAAATTAACCGTTTCAGCATATTGAAATGAATTGCACCCTTAGTGAAATCATCGTGATATCACTTAGAGTGCAAAACGTTTCAAACAAAAAGTCCTTCAAAAATCACTTTAAAAAAAAGGTTTCACACATCATATTTGATAACATTGGGTAAGACTATGTAAATAGAAGCCAAATTGGTTTTTACTTAATATGGGGAAATGGTGGTAAGTCCAAATCTTTTAAGACCTTGCCTACATTTATGTTCAGAGCATCCCCATATTGCAATGTCGAATTATCAACAACTACCCCCTTCTTGTACTTCTCGCACGTTTTTGGCCCCATCCTACAAGAGTGTCTGTAATGGTGCACAACAATAGCATATTCCTCAGCAGGCTTTAGGTACATCCCAGGGAACATGTTGCAGTTCTCTCTGATTGGTCCCTGTGGGTATTTACAGCTAACAGTCCCATGCCATATGACCAGAAGTGCAAAGGCGGTCGCGCTGAATGTTTTATCGGAGTCTCTGTTTATGATAGAGCGTTTGAGGTACATTTGAGAATGTAAATGCTGATGTGGGGAAATATTTACTTGACCATACGTGTCCAGGTGCCAACCAGAAGGAAAGTACCATCCTCCGATGTGGGGTTTCCTCGCTGCACCTGATTCAATCACGTCAATAATACGAATATTTGGATCACTAGAAAAGATTATCTCATCGAGGTCTAACATAAGAATATAGTTGAATCTGTTCCTGTATCTATACAGACAATCATTATAGGACGTTAGATAAAGCTGTGACATTATCCAACCAATTTTGTCATCATTAAGTTCATATTTCACTTTCAAATGGGGCAGTATGCTATAGAAAAATCTGTCATATTGCACATCTAGTAATCCCTTTTTCTGGTAATAATCCAAGATTTGCTCAATCTCATTCTTGTTAGCATTATTGCTTTCATTGGTATAAATCACAAAATGGTCAATCCCTGAGATTTTATGGAACTCGATCCACTCTACAAATCGTAGAACGTTTTGTGTCCCTGTGATTGGCTTAACACAAATAGACATATTTTGTTTCACTTTTCCAGTCTTCAGTTGTTCATTTTCAATTTTCAGAAACGTTCCATCATTTGTTTTGATAGATCTACTTGTGTATATTCCAACGAAATCCGTATCACTGAGGTGCGGCACATCACACCAATACGAGCTTGTGTAGAAGAGCACACCATATGGGTAAGATGGGAAAACTGGTAAAATCTTCACTGGTACATATTTGTAGCTATTATAAGTGGCACCATCGATTGTAAATCTGCAATACAATCGTGTCTGATTGTTCTTGATGCTGGTGTGTTGGATGCCGAACATCCGAACACATGTTTCGTTGAATCGATCATCCAGATGAGCCGATTTCAAGTAAATCTCAACCCCTGGTATTTTATAAAATGCACGATTGCCCTCTTTTCCATTCCATTGGTTGCCATGGTGACTATTTACTTGCACAGATTCCTTTTTATTTTGATTTGAACTTGATTTTGCATCTGAATTATTTCGTACTTTTCTTGATTGTTCTAACACAACATCTGATTGTACCAACACAATATTTGGTTGTTCCGGCACAATCTCAAGTTGCTTTAAAATATTGTCAGATCCCTTTAAATCATGAAACTGATTTAGTATATTTGAATGATATCTCCTTAAAAATATTTCACTGGATAAAAGAGATAATAAAACTGAATATGTCATAAGTGCGAGAAATAAAAGTACAATCTTTGACAAACTGATTGTGTTCCGAACACATGCCATGTTCGCATATATTTCTTTTGTTTAATACTCCTACACTCTGATGTTCCTTCTAGCTTTGTGTATATCTGAAAATCCAAATTCAAAACATGTACTTCAACAGACCATAAGTATAACAGATAAGGTAATTGCCTTGCTAAAACTTTACAGAAAGATTTAATGAAGACTTTTTCTGCCAACAATGTTTTTAACTTTGGTTGGTTGATATATTTTACTAGTAATACTGTATCAAACCCATTTTAACCTCATCTTTGTGTCATTTCTTTGTTAGATATTCGGTCAAAATACAGTATCATAGAAATACAAAATGTAAGTTTGTTATGAGGTCATATAACATCTCTCATTCATCGCGTATACTCACGGGTAGTATCCAAAGCCCCGCTATGATTTCGAAGTCGCGAGCAAGTTCCCGCTGAAATCGCGAGCATAGTCCTGTTTATTTGTATCACTTTGGAAAATGGACCAAAAGGATGAAAATACTAATAACAATTCTTTGAGACTCAAGCAATACTTTAAAAACAGATATATTTGACAAACAATGACATGAAAATTGATTCTTTTTCGCTGGCATGGCAGAAAAGGGCGTCAACATGCACTTTTGTATAATTGACTGTTCATATATTACGTTTATCGTTAAAATAAAGGCTATGAATACGATTTGCATACTCTATAATACATATCGGATCAATATGGTCTGTATTGATAAGTAACTGTACAATTACGTCTGCCATGGGGGTCGAAATACATCATAAAAGGCGTTTCAGTGGCCCCGCTGAAAAAAATGAGGAGGCCCCGCTGAAAACATGAGGAGGTCCCGCTTCGATCACGAGGAAAGCTTCATAATTATTCTATGAAGATATTGAGTTTCTTTATATGAACGTAAAAGAACGTGCCAAAAACGAATTAATAACAATCACATAACATCATTCTATGGCAGCATCGCAAATATATCTTCTGCAACTTCATGTAGTTTGATCAATCTGTCAGCGTCGACATAAAATTCTTAAATGTGTAAAAATAGACTTTGTCCATTCGTACAGTTTAATGTAAATTCTTCATCATTCAATGTTCCAAGGAGTATACTTCCGAGAACACATATATTTCATTGGCTTGTTTGTTTTTCCGACCGTTCATTCGTGTGCGCGTTCGCCCGACCGTTCGTTCGTTCGTGCATGCATTCGTCCGACCGTCCGTTCGTGCGTGCGTTCGTCCGACCGTCCGTTCGTTCGTGGGTGCGATCGTCCGAAATTCGTTCAGTCATGCGTGCGTTCGCCTGACTGTTTGTTCACTCGTGCGTGCATTCTTCAGATCTTCCGATCTTGAGATCGTCAAACCATCCGTTCGTGCGATCGTCAAACCGTCCGTGCGTGGCAGTGTCCATCCGACCGTCCATTCGTTCATTCGTGCGTTTGTTCGTCCGACCGTCCGTTCGTTCGTCCTACCGGCCGTTCGCTCGTGCGTGCTTGCGTTTGTTCGACCGTTCGTTCGTACGTGCTTGCTTTCGTCCGACTGTCCATTCATTCATTGGTGCGTCCGTGTGAACGTCCGTTCGTCCGTGCGTGCGTTCTTCGACCGTCCGTTCATGCGTGCGTTCGTGTGGTCGATTTTGCGCGCATTTGTCTAGCCGTCGGTTTATGCATTCGTCCGACCGTTCGTGCATGGGTACGTTCGTCCGATCGTTAATGCGTGGATTAATTCGTGTGTGCGTTCGTTCGTGTGTGCGTCCGTTCGTTCATGCGTGCGTCGGTGCGAGGGTTCGTTCGTTTTTTGTTCGTAAATACATTTTGCGTTCATTCGTTCGTTTATTTCTGATAAGAGATGAGTGAGTGAGTTAGTGAGTATGCAAGCTGGCAACAGAAGAATGAGACAAAAATAGTATTACTGAACATTTTTCTGACTTAATCGTTTTAGCTTAAGCTTGCGCGTGAATCTTACTGAATGATATCGACTTATCGACATATACGAGGCCCGATCAGAAAGTAAGTAACCAACTGCTCTCATTTTTTCATATTTCATTCAATCACATTGAAATTTTCACATTGATGTAGAAAGTATTAACCTATTAAACAAGACCAAGGACAATGGGTTAGCGTCAATGCCATTGTTATGGCTGTTGTTATGGTGATGATATTTTTGGGTAGGCGGGGCACCTTTTTGTAAGCGGCTTTGGAAGATGATTTGTAGAGTTTTTTATATGCTGTATTCCTCCAAATTACCTAACATTTTTTAATGCAAGACTGAATAATTTGTTCTATGTATTATCACAATGGTAACTATATTCAATTGTCCAACGACACAAAGAAATCAAGGCTATATCTGTCATAATGATGGTCATGGTTCAGTCACATTTTCAATCCAGTCAAATGTTGTTGAAAGGAGATTTTACTGGCATGACGACAATGGTCCACCTCCACAGAGCCAACATTAACGAAGATACAATAGATTAAGCCTTTCCATGGCCACACAACTACCCCAGGCTCACTAATCCCCAGACTATTCCCAATGTGACAAAATTCTAAATTCTTGCAAAGATGTTGGCATGGAGAGTCCATTTGGACAGCAATAAAGGTATCATTAAAGCTTTCAATGGCAGTTTGCAGTCATTGAATGGTGACATGTTTAAGGACAGATTGAAGCATTGCCTCAACTGCATTGACTTTGGTGGTGATTAATTTGATAAACTGTGAGTTAAAATGTAATAGGACATGTATATTTGATATATTTGGAGGTATTACAACATGAAGAAAAACTCTACAAATTATCCTCAAATGCGACTTAAAACAGGGTGCCCCACCTACCCAAAACAATTGCCACCATAGCAACAGCAATAACAATGGAATTGATGCTAACCGATTGTCCTTGGTCTTGTTTAATAGGTTAATATTTACTACATCATCTCTGAAAATTTCAATGTGATTGAATGAAATATGAAAAATTGAGAGCAGTTGGTTACTTACTTTCTGATCGGGCCTCGTATGATGGAATTTCACTTACTTTTCAGTTGGGTTGATTAGATTTGATGCGTAAAATCAACAACATTTATTGTTATTATGAAAATTAGGTTAAACTTTTAACATTTCATCCATCTAACACTCATCACATTTCTTAGATGACCTATTTTATTCCGGAAAATGGCAACGAAGATCATACTGATACGACGTCAGATACTGTACATCACGGCGTAACAGTGTAATTGTTCATTTTACCGACAAAATGCAAAGATTTACGCGATAAATATGCGCAATGCTCCTCCAAGTAATTGCAAACGTTTTAATATTCGTGGAATCTTCTTAAAAACTTCAAGTTTTGTTCAGATTAATGTGCGCTTCAATACAATTCTATATTCAAAAAGGTTGTGTCACGATATACAGAATTAGAATCACCTGAAAGTAGACATTTCAAACCCTACCCGTTTTCTTCTTTGTCGCGCTTTTCGGCCCTCTCGTTGTCGCACCGTCTTTCTAGACTCTTTCACAATGCCCCTTGTCATATTCAACTGATAAACACAGACGGGAAGATATAAATGATTGTTAAATGCATTATTTGTAATTTATTTTAACTCGAATATTTAGTTTTATTTATTTAAAGCAATGAATAATAAAGGAGAACATATAATACGCTAACGGCGTAACGTCTTATTTTGTAAAGGCTTCACTTGGGGTTGCGGTGATAAAACGATGTCTATCTCAATACATACTGGTTCAAATTTAATGAAATTAATTGTATGTAGTAAGGGGTATATTTAAAAGGATATGCTGAAACATTGGAAAGTTTTGAATGTTTATCCCTTAATTAGAAATATTTGAACTCAAAAAATGAAACGTAATTTTGTGAATTTTTCACATGGCTTCACTTCATATTTCTTTCAATTTATACTTCTTACAGACTGAATTTTAATCGAAATGATATAGTTTTTTGATAAAAATATAGAATATGATATGCCTTTCAGGAATCAAAAAAGAATAATTCACCTTTCAAACGATTTAATGTTAAATTGATCAAAATATATATCTTGTTGGTACGAAATTCTGCCTGTCGACACTTTTTTTGCATAAATATAAGCGTTAAGTTAGCATTGTTATATTATGACGTCATCACACAGAATCTGTTTGTCTTTTCCAAAATGGTGAATTTAAATATTGTGAAAATTTGAGAAAGATCCGTTGGGAAATGAAAAAGTTATCTTCATTTTTCGTTTAAAATTAAAATCACTTTTCTTCAAAATGTTACAGTCGACACCCGGTTTTAGCATAGAAAGTCGCATAATACGGCTTGCGTGATTCTCATTTAAAAAGTCCCAAATCAGTTATTTGGAATTCTGATAGGCAAAATATTTCATGGACAAACGTGTTCAACTGATGACGAAAAATTGTAGAAAAATATGATTTTGCTGTCGAGATATTGCGGTTTTAAAAGTAAGTACGCATTAAAAATGCAGTAAAATGCCGCGATGTACAGTATCTGACGTCGTATCACTGCAGTTTCCCATTACGACCTATCATAATATGTACTATATATATATTTTTATTTATTTATTTATTTCATTAAAACATAAAAACATTTTTACATATTCGTGGTCATGACACCTACATAGGTATATATATATATTTAAAATTTTCAAGTGCTTGAAAGTTTAACACAACATGACACTAGGTGAACCATAATTTGTCTCAATATGTATGTATATCAATACAGTATTCGCTGAATTGTATCAACAAATGATGTATCCATGAAACTGGGTACAATAGTGGATTAAGCTGGGTACGATAGTGGGAGATTTTCACGGTATAATCAGGATTCACTCCATTTTGAAGAGACACTTGCTCCTGTTTTCAGCGGACCTCCTCATGTTTTCAGCGGGGTCTTTGCTGTATTGCTCCTGTTAGAAGCTGGGCCTTGAGGGATATGATAAAATTGAAATATAAAGTGTTCTGTAAAGCTTTAGGAAGTGAAACTCGTACATTTTTATTTAAGATCACTATCATTATTTCAACCACAGGACAACGTCGTTTTTCACCTAAAACGT